TCATTAGGAATCTTTGGATCAGGTCCCTTGTGCAGGGATTGATTTAAGGCCTGGCTTGACAAAGCCCTGGCTGGGATGATTTAGTTGGGAATTGGTCCTGCTTTGAGCAGAGGGTTGGACTAGATGATCTCTTGAAGTCCCTTCCAACCCTGATATTCTATGATTCTGTGATTCAGAGGAAGTATGTGATTCAGATCAGGGTATGAAGAGTTTCTCCAGTTTTAATTTTTGCAATTCTAGCTCCCACATATGTAAATAGCAAGAGAAAATTAGTGTGCCACACAGTGGTTTTCCAAATAATAATTTACTAACACAGTGCTTGTCACTGTATCGGACGCAAAATGGAGATATTCCTTGCCTAAAAGAACTTAAAATCTAATAACAAAATTGAAGAAGATAGAATACATAGGGGAAGTTGGAGGAAAACATAATGTAAAGGTTTTGGGGGTGATTTTTTGTTTTTGTATGGATTATTCCTTTTGGATATTGCATAAATGAATTGGGTCAAGTGTGAATGAGCAGGGGTAGCAATGGCAGAAGTCTATCTAGAGGTTACATCACAGAAAATGAGTTGTGATCTGCTAGTTCCTAGCCCCACAAAGAGCCATTACTGCTGTTCAGTACCCATGTCCAAAATTCCACTGACCAATAATTTGAACAGTTAAACTTCTGACAAGCTTCTCTCCAGCAAAACAGAAAAATGTGTGAGGAGGAGGCATTCATCAAAGTTAACAAATCTCTTTTTTAATTAACAGTGACATTAACACCATCCAGGAAGGCATCGGAGACAAGTTCTGTATATTTGTACAATTCTTTGCTATGTTTCTGACAGGGATTGTTATAGGATTTGTCTACGGGTGGAAACTGACTTTGGTGATTTTGTCAGTTAGCCCCCTCCTTGCTGCAGCAGCAGCAGTTGGATCAATCGTAAGTGCTGGGGAAAAACTAATAAGAATTCTACCTCTAAAATCAGATTGAGAGGGGGTGAACCCCAAAGCAACATGACCACATAGTTTGGAGAGCATGGAGAGCAGCCCTTCTCCTACTCCACTGGCTCCTGCCCCAAAATTTGCAGAGCTCTGTCTACACTGAGCATCAGCAGGCAGGCATTGGCATGCCATGGAGGCCTGGACTGCTTCCAGTCACCACCACTCACAACATGGGAAGAGGATGATCAGCATTCATCAACTGTGACCACATTAATAGCTATTGCTTGTAATGCACAGAAAAATTTACCAAGTGTTTCCATTTATAGGGTGTATTTTGTTTTCTCTCCTCCTGTCCCCCACCCAAGCACTGAAAATGGTGGAGGAAGAAACAGGATTGTGACCTATAATTAAGATAACTAAGTTATTTACATGGTCTCCATTACTATAGTTTCTGAGTGCCTCACAATCTTCAGTGTATTTAGCCTCACAACATCATGCAAGATCAGGGATTCCCATTTTACACATGGAGAAATGAAACATGGAGAGAAGTTACTTTTCCCGAAGTTGCCCAGGAAAACTTTGTTGGAGTGGGGACTTGAACCCAGGTCTCCTAAATTCTAGGCTCTTTCCCTAACTGTTTGATCACCCTTTATATCAGTACGTAATTTACACCAGTTAAACAGATTTCAATAAAATACTTTTCCCTTCTCCCCCCCCCCTCTGAATTTTCCAGTTCCTGGCATCATTCACTACAAAAGAGCTGACTGCTTATGCTAGAGCAGGAGCTGTGGCGGAAGAAATTTTGACTGCTGTCAGAACAGTTGTTACTTTCAATGGACAGATGAAGGCATTAGCAAAGTGAGTGGTTTTTTTAACTAATTGATTGTATATAATATTTGGGAAAGTGATGTGGTTATTTAAAAAAAATCAAAGATGATCTGTCAGTTTATCCCCCAGATAGCTGAGAAGTTCAGATGAAGATAAAAATGAGCATATGGAAGGAGATGTTTTCTGTCACCCATGAACATTTGCAATCACTCAATTGACCTACATTATGGAGGGGCATTGTAAGGCCCAATTTCCCTCTGACACTAACCTGAAGTTGAATTTGGAGCTGAAGCTATAGAAAATAGAGTCTTCTCTAAGGCTCCAGTCCAACAAAGCACTTTTGCAACTACTTTAAGCACATGCACACTCCCACTGAAATCATTGATTAAAGTGTTTACAGTTAACCTCATGCTTTACTGGATCATGACCTTAGGTAGGATTGCCTATCACTTTCCTATGTCATCGACTTCAAGGGGGCTACCCATATACTTAAAGTTTGTGCGTGCTTAGTGCTTTGCAAATAATCCTCTTCTTCATCTAATCTGAACAGCACCAATGATATCTGAGCAGTTTATGTGGAAGAAATTAATTGCACATCATTTTTGGATCCCTTCACTACTGCGTAAACTGTGCCATTCATTTTGGGCCTTCCCACTTTTAGTCAGGGCATTTTTGTACATATGTGTTGAGAGGGTTCTACAAAGCTTCTGAGCATGCCATTGAACAATAAAATGATATGCACGTCCTCCTGAAACGTTCTGAGAACATTGCTGGGCTGAGCAGTGCTTTCTGTAATGCCCTTGAGAAGCTAAAGGGGATTAGATAGCTAATGAGTGAACAGAAGCTGTTATTGATTGATGGAAAACCATAAGCTTGTAAAGGAATCGCAAGCAAAAAAAGAATGATGTTTTTCATTAACTAATTGTTAACCTTTGTCCTTGTCTCACAGGGGTTAACTAGCATAATATGGTGCTTAATTTGTATTTGATTGCTTGCTATTGGCATATATCTTGGTAACTTAGCTTATGAGAATAGTTCTTGGCTTCCAACAGCGTTCATCAAGATCAAACTACTGCCAGGTTGTGGAGTCAAAGGGGACTTTGGCTTCTGTTTACTTGTTTGCTTTTATCTAAAGCACTTTTTCTTGAAAAATTGAGGGAGCACTAATTCTTACCTTTGCGAGCTGATATTCATAGAATCCTAGAAATGTAGGGCTGGAAGGGACCTTGAGAGATCATCAATTCCAGCCCCCTGCACTGAGGTAGGGTCAAGTATACCTAGGCCATCTCTGATAGGTGTTTGTCTAACCAGTTCTGAAAAACCTCCAATAATGGGGATTCCACAACCTTCCTTGCTAACACATACCAGTATTTTACTATCCTAATATTT